ATATATATATATATATATATATATATATAAATTTTTATATATTATAAAATATATATATTGTTATAAATAATATTACGGTTTTGTATTTTTTATTATTACATATAACAATACAACTTTTTTGTTTGTATGTTTGTTTGTTTGTTTTGTTTTGTTTTTGTTTTTTGCAAATGTCATTTTGAAATTTTGGCAGTGTACATTTTAACAAATATGTCCAGAGGTATGGCACAGACCTGTGTTTTTTTAAATGTTACAACAAAATCTCTGGTGTTAAAATTCCAAATAATTATTTTAAAAGTGATGTCTGTAGAAAAGACTCCAACAACAGAGGCTGTGATTTAACATCATTTTACTGACACTTGCGTCTGTCCTGCAGGTGAGTACTGTAACCTCCCCCTCTACATGAAGACAGACCCTTTCTTCCGGAAACAGGTGGAGCTGCACGACCCCTGCCCTGTGGTCCCACCCCGCGAGGCCTCCATCCGGAGCCTTGCCGCCCGGGCCTACCATACACAGGGCCGCCACATGACATTAGACCCCTCAAAGCAGCAGGCCCTGACACTGAGCCACGGCGGCCTGAGCAGCCTGACCAGCTCAGGGGCCTCTGGTACGTCGGGCCCAGCTTCAAGCGGGGCTGCTGGGAGCTCCAGCATCAGCTCAGGCACGGCCACCCTGCCCCAGAGGACTCTCACAATGCCCAGCACCTCCTCCACCTCCTTGGCCCCAAGCGGGGCAGTCGCCGCTGGAGCAGGAGCCAGCACGAGCGCCACGGGAGGCAACGGCCCGACGCCTGGCAGTTCCAAGGTCGGGGGATCCAGAGACTCTCTGCTAGAGAGCAGCTCGTCTGGCCTGGGCAGACTGCAAAAGCAGAATGCTGGGGCGTACTCCAAATCCTACACTCTGGTGTAGCTCACACACACACACGTATACGCATACAGTACGTTCACACACACATCTGGAGTCTGGGCAGGGGCGGAAATGAACAATAGCGGGACAGGGGTCTCTCTCTCTTTTCCTCTCGATTACCTTTTTCTGCATTCCTTTTTTATTCTTCTGCTCAAGCTTTTTTTTATCTGGCCTTCTCCAGGATTAAATATGCCAAACCCCAGGACCTTTTCCCCAATTTTGCCCTTTTTTTGTCTTATGTTTTGTCCTTCTCTCTTGCTTTCTTCCCCACTCTCCTTTCACTTCTCTCTGCCGAAGACACCTTGGACCTTATGCACGAAATGCTTTCCATGTGCGCTTGTTTGATTTCTCAACTTCAGAAAATAGGGAAAAAAACGGTTTTAAGAGATACATTGTTTCACATTAACCTGTCTAGATGTTTCTAGGCTGTCAAAAAAAGTGTCTCTTTTTATGTCTCTCATACTGCAACGCATTGCCTCGGAAAGCTTATGCATAAACAAATCCACCACGGTGTCCACCTTCCGCCCCTCCTGATCCACAATGGTCTGGAAAAACAGCTCGAAGACGAAAGTCTCGACCGCCTGAATTGAGTCTTTGGGATTTTTTCATGCAATTGATGACACAGTATAGAGTGTTATTGACTATTTTGTAAACAAACAAGAAAAAAAAATGTTTGGAGCCATTTTCACTGCAGATGTATGGTTACTGTACTTTTATTTTTTTGTTCGGTTTTCTATTTTTGGCATTTTGAACTTTAGCACTAAGGAGGGCCGGGTGGATCCACAGAGCTTTCTGTATAGAGTGTTATTGACTATTTTGTAAACAAACAAGAAAAAAAAAACGTGGAAAAAAAATGTCTGGAGCCATTTTCACAGCGGATGTATGGTTACTGTACTTTTATTTTGTTGTTCGGTTTTCTATTTTCGAAATTTTGAACTTTAGCACTAAGGAGGGCCGGGTGGATCCACTGAGCTTTCTCAAGCTTGTGTACGTGTACGTGTGGTGTGTGTGTGCATGTATATGTGTAAATATATATGTATACATGTGGCCAGCACACACCTTTAAAGGACCTCTCAACCAGGCCTGCACACTTGGTCTCTTGGCATCACATCGGCTTCGAGACGCCAGATGCCGCCCACTGAGCTACAAGGTCTAGAGTCCATATGAAAAGGGGGGACAAGTTGGAGAGAGTATTTAAAGGGTAGACGTATCTCCCTTCTCATTATCTCTCAACTTCCTTCAATATGAAAGAACGGCTCTTTTTTTGCTGTTTGTTCGTTCATTCGATTGTTTGTGATTGATGCCATATACTTGTCACCCCTCCTTCCCCACCCAGACCTCCCCCAAAAAGGTTACCACTTCCTCTGTCTCACTGTGAACGCCTAACAGCCTCTCCTGGATGGACCGAGTGCAGGCAGAAAGGCGGGAAGAGGGCAGAGAGGAAGTAGAGGCAGACGGGCCCGTGAACAGAGAAGGAGAGATATCTGCTGTCGCTGTGTAGCTTTTCTGCGTTTGTTCATCGTTTCTCTTTATTCTTTGCTTTCCTTCCCCACACGAAGACTCTAGCGGTCGTTCCTATTCGAAGGTCTTAGAGACTCTAGCTTTAGGTAGCGCAGGGGTGGATTAAGGAGGGAATAAGTGAAATGTAGGAGGGGAAGGTTTCATTCAACCCCTAAATGGATCGAAATGCCTTTTAACCCTCCTTCGTTCACTCGGTTCCCAAAGCAAAGCCCCATCACAGAGAAACTTCCAAAAATCGACAAACTCTCCCAATGGTTTCAATGGAAAAAAAGTACTACATCAGGGCTCCTGCAATACAAAAGAAAAATATATTGCAATGTTTGTTGTCAAAATATATACATATATATTTCTATCTAAAGATATAGTAAATATATACGTGGTGAGAGCAGAGATTTAATGCCATATCTAATTGAAAAAGAAAAAATGTTATTTTAAAAAAGATTTGAAGACAATCGCTCAGTGGGAGGTGCAGCAGTAAGCGAGAGGAGATGTCGATCACGAAACGCTGAGATAAACGGGTAACATAACTAAGACAAATTGAAAAAGAACGGCAGAGGGTGTGTTTCGACATTCCGCGGTTGGGAATTCTGGGAAAAGACCTTTGAGGTTCCCAAACTAACTTCCTGTCATCGTTATAATCAGCCGGGGTGCATAGTGCAACACGCCTGTATGGTATGAAGGAGATATTTATGGACAGTTCCAAACACACTCTCTACAGTTGCTTGGAAACAATGGAAATTTGCCACTGCAACTCCAGCTCATAGATGGACATCTGTGAGCGCCATCTGAATCCATGCACCATCTCTACGGTAGTTTAAAATACCCACAGTACTTTGAGAGCTTTCTGTCAGGTCCTTAAAAAGACAGTTCACCCAAAAAATAAAAAAATGTCATTATTTACTTACCCACATGTTGTTCCAAACCTGTATGACTTTATTTCTTCTGTGGAACACAAATGGAGATGTTTTAAAGTGTTTTGGCCATACAATGAAAGTAGGGGACTGGTACTGACGAATGATATTGTAATACTGAACATAATATCAGAAATAATACATTACCAGTACTATGTGGTTGACACACCAATATCGTATGTGGTGGTATTGCACCTTAATACTGGTTGCCACACATCATAAAATAGTAATAGTAAATAGCAGGAGGTGCCGAACAACAAAAACATTTTTTTTTTGTTGTATTGTATTGTTTTGTACAGTTATGGTTACTGTCTCTGCACCTTCCTACACTCATATTTTGAGTGTGATTCATTGGCAAAAAAAAAGAGAGGAAACATAAAATTAAAGATGAATTTGACTGATTACAATATTTATTCTTCCCGAATATTTCTATAGATAATGTAATATAATTGTTATTATAAACTCTTTTGGCCACAATAATTGTGTAGTGAAAATCTGATATTTTGACAGGTTTAAATGCACAAAATTTAACCCCATTGACTTTCATTTTATGGAATAATTGACGAATAGTGAATAAATGATGACAGAATAAAAATTTTTGGGTGAATTACCCCTTTTAGGTGAAATCGCTCCTCTGATTTAAAAAATTCAAGCTTTCAGCATGTCTGATAGGTCATATCTTATATATCAGGGGAAAGATTGCTACCTTTATATACTGCATATTTATTGGTGACTTAGAACACACAAACCCTGCAGACTTCAGCACAGGAAATAGCACACATTTATTGTTTGTTCAACAGGATTCAGTTTAATGCAGCCACCTGAGCATATCTCATGTTAGGAAGACTTGACACAACAAATCCTAAGGTACAGAGTAGGGACATGTCGTGTTGGGTTTAAAATTGAGCTGATTGAACGATAGTATATCTGTTTGTGGCATATGAAAAAAAAAAATCTGACTTACCAGGAGATGTTTTTTTTTTATTTTTTTTTTTTTTTTTGGTGGCTTGATAAATTAGGATTGTGTTACGGTGTACCCAAAGTTGTGTAAGATAAATACATTTGATCACCCAGATCTAACCCAAAATTGAGATAGAGTTGCGAAGATTGTGGACTTGTTTTAAAAACAGTGAAAGAAGTATGTGTTCCTCTTATTGCTGCTCAAATGCCCACTGACTGGGTTATTAAGTCTGTCTGATGGCAGACGTGCCCAGAGCATTTTGCCATGAACATGTTTCATTAGGATTAGACCGATATCTATATCAGTATCAATGCCTGTTCAGGTGAAACATCTTGTGAAAATATTCCCTTGACCACCCCAGAAAGTCCCCACGTCCAATGTTTTTCATATTTAAAAGACAGTTGCTGACTTAAATTTCATTTACTTTTTTTTTTTTTCTCAGTTGCATTGTTTATAAAAATAGATGTATCCAACTTAGTTTATTTGTTTGGTTCTATGATGATTTATGTTGAAGAGAAAATGCTGTTGTGTTGCGCAATGGGGCAGGCCTGTTTAGCCAGTCAAATCAGGGACCCCCGAGCTCCAACCAATCACAGGAGAAGCTGTGTGGATACTGGGTGGAGTCAGGAATAGAACTCCATCCCCACACGCCTGTTTCCCCACCCGAATGATCCGATTAGCCCCTTTTCTTCAACCAATAAAAATTCCTGCTATACCCAAGACCTCCCTGTCAGCATAATTTCTAATCTACAAATAAAGACTCTTGTATATATGAAACTGTTTTGTATAAATAATTACTATTTTCGACATCTCCATTAGCAACCAGAGCACAATTATAAGTCTGGTTAAAGGTATAACTTTAAATGTGAGGGGATTAAAAAGACAAAAAAGTATAAAATCTAACAAAAAATACTTTACACCTTGAGTTTTGAATGGGGCACATAAACCCAGACCAGACGTCTGGCATTTGATTTATTTTCTCCTTTTTATAATTTGTCTTATCTTTTTATTCATTTATGTTGTTGGTTGGTTTGTTTGTTTATACTTTTGTTTTGTTTCTTTTGGTTAACTTGACGAAAAATGGCATTGCATGCTCTGAATATGTTGCTGGTTATTAAAAGAAAAAGGAGATAAATAACTAAAAGGGGGAAAAAAGTTTAAAAATGCAGAGGGGATTCCTAAACTTTTGTGGAAAAGTTGCTTCAATTTGCAATTGCTTGTTTAAATATACAGATTTTTTTTTTCTATGAAAACAAAACAAAAACAGAAAAAGAGTACTCCAACAACTTGTGCAATAAAGCTATCTTTCTATGAATAGTGCCTTGTCCCTTGTGTGATTTTTTTATATGTAAATTCTATCTATCTATCTATCTATCTATACAATTAGAAAACAACTAATACAACTGGAAAACAAGTACCTGTATAGCAATATTCCATAATTTATTCATTAAGGTGCACTCAGTAATTTTTGTTCATTAATTGGTCCTGAACTTACTGACATCAATATGATGGGAGCATCAATAATACAAAAAAGCAGCCGTTGTTTGGTTACCTTACCAGTGCCAATGAAGTCATGCTCTAGATATCCATCCATCCATCTTCCAAACCACGTGTCCTGCTTACGGTCGCGGGGCCTATTAAAGCTTCTATTGATGGTCATCCATGCTTAATTTACTTAGCGAAGGTGTACAATGATGGAAGTTGTGGATATAAAATAAAGAGTATGGAAGCGTTCACTCGGAGTCCATATTAACGCCAATCAGCTGTTGCTTCGCTGCCGTATTCGAAACTCTCACCGTCAGCTGTTAGCAGTCATGCAAATTTGTTACTTAAATGGGGAAAGGAAATCGTCTCTAAAACCGTTAAAGATTACGTTCCAACAATAAATTCTGACAATAAAATAAATTGCCTCTTCAGGTCAAATCACACGCAGTACAAACACCTCCCAGAGATTTTGGCTAATGCGCATGCGCATTGTAAAGTAAACAAACACGCGTTTGACTTTTTCAACAAAAGGGGTTCTAGTCATTTTTTTTTTTTTTTTAAGTGTTCAGTTGGTCAAGGGATTTAGGTCAGTCATTTAAAAAGAACAAATTGTGTCTTTAATTAAATAATGTCTTTAATTTAGGTGTAATACCTTTTTATTTATTTTTATAGTCTTTTAACTATACACTCATAACTTGTTTCTATTTATTTATTTATTTGTTTGAATTCAGATATATAGCATTATCTCCTGTTTCTATAATGTGTAGCAGAATTTGTAATTTTGATCCTTTCACT